AGCTTTCCCTTCCCAAGAACTTTGTAGTAGCCCGATCGCACTACATCAATGATGGGAGCTACTCCAGTCTTGTTTTTGGCAGTATTTACTCATGTCTGCTCACTGACCATTGTCCAAAATTTATCAAGTTGACAGTTGGGCAGAAGCTCTGGTTTCTCTTTAAGTGGTAATGCCTCATACCCACCTTCCCAAAGTAACCCGGGTGATATTTGTCGAAGTTGATCCTGTGATGATGCACGCCACCAGCATTACCCCGGCCTCCGGGGTGCTTCTGGTGCTTGCCGGCGCAGGCATGGCCGTGGCTCTCATGGCCCCGAAGCTTCCGGGTCTTCCTTAGTCTGGAGGGTGTGTCAGCAGTCGAGCTGAAAGGAGAAAATATTTATTGATGTCTCCAGAGAACAAGAAATCAGGAATTATCTCCCAACAACAAAACATTTCAATTCTTTATTATCTGTTTCAATGTCTGATACAGCATCACAACTATACTGAATCTTTTTAAGGGCCGGGGAGATGGCTCAGTAGAATAAGCACTTGCCTGGCAAGTGCAAGGGCCTGAATTCAATCCCTGGTTCTGCAAAAATAAATAAATAAATAAATAAATAAATAAATAAATAAATAAATAAGTCTCTTTTCACCCTCACTGTAAAATAACTTATACTGGCTTTTGACTCTTTCTATGCTCTTTGTATTTACTTTCCATGCTGTATTTTAATATAGATCAAGTCAGGTTATATGTGGAATTTAGAATTTTTTTTTAATTTTAATTTTTATTTTCTTGGCGGAACCGGGGATTGAACTCAGGCCCTTGGGCTTGCCAGGCAAGTGCTTATTCCACTGAGCCATCTCCTTGGCCTCCTAGAATTTAGAATTCTTATCCTTTAATTTTATGTAAGCTTAGGGCCTGCCATGGTGGCACACACCTATTATCCTAGTGTTGTGAAGCAGGAGAGTTGCAGTGAGTTCAAGGCCAGCCTGCAAGACCCTGCCTCAAGAAAAATAACTTACAAAAGAAAGAAAGAAGGAAAACTTAAAAATTTTATGTAAGCTTTTCCCTCTTGTCATTAATTCGTTTTAGGTAAGTCTTATCTCTCCTTTTAAAAGTTATGTGTATGAGAGGCCAGGGAAATGGCTCAGTGGAATAAGAGTTTCCCTGGCAAGTGCAAGGGTATGAGTTCAATCCCTGGTTCCACAAAAAAAAAAAAAAAAGTATGTATATGAAAAACTTTACTGTCTTCAATCTGTTTCAGAAGCTCTTGTTTTTATGTATAATAGGAATCCACCCTAATTTATTTTTTTCATCTCTACAGAGCAAGGCTCAAAAATTAGAACCCATACCTCATCGAAGACTAAGAATGGTGACAAACACCATTGAAGAAAACTTTCCTCTGGGGACTGTGCAGTTTTTGATGGACTTTGTGTCACCCCAGCATTACCCACCCCGAGAAATTGTGGCTCACATCATCCAAAAAATCCTGCTCAGTGACTCTGAGACAGTGGATGTGCTCAAGGATGCCTACATGCTCCTCATGAAGATTCAACAGTATGAACCATAACTCTGGGCCAAATTCTCCAGGGAAACCTGAGGCTCAAGGCCCCATTTTCTTTTGCCTGTGTTTATTCAACTAGCCATTAGGGAGGGTTTCTTAATGCATTAGTGTTTTCTGAATTGCACATAATAGAAAATTCAATCAAACTGACTTTCACAGCTGGTAAAAGAGAATTTAGTGGCTTGTGTTGCTAGAAACTTAGGAATAAGATGTGACTTGATTCTGTGGGTTTTTTTTTTTTTGTATTTTTTTGGGGAAGGGTCTGCAGGTATTCAGGGTCTCACTACTAGATTAGACTCATAGTGATCCACCTGTTTACAGCCTCCCAAGAGCTGGGATTACAGGCACGTGCCACCATGGCCAGTCTTGATCACTGTCTCGGTGTGCCCCAAGGACAGTGCTGGCACCTGGCACAACAGGCCCAACGATTGAACCACCAGACCCTGTGCCTTTTTGCAGGCGCTTTAATCCACTGAGCTATTTGGCCAGGCCTGATTCTGTGTTCATAATGGCTACCAAGATCCATTTTCCATCTCTTCATTGGTTTTATTTTCAGCTACCACCTGGTGGTTCTCAGGCTCAGGCTTTTAAAACACTTTCAGTGGGAGAGTTCACTTATAGCTATAGCTACATAAGAGTTCTTAAACTTGAATCTGGGGGGGGGTAATTTCATTGGCCTAACTTGACATGTGACCCATCTTTGAACCAATCAGTGTCAAATATTATGATTAATTTAAAATCTCATGTTTTATCCTGGTAGGTAAAGCTGGTTGGCTAAGAACATTGGAAAGTAGGTTTCTTTAAGATATTGCTTCCTAAAAGAGGAGTTCTGCCATGTTCATACATACATACGTTGGATGTTGAGGGCTAGGCTAGAACCCTGGGGATAAGAAAAGGCTTTTTTTCTTCTGTTATCTTCCACATCCCATCCCTTTTTCCACAAAATTCTCCAGAATTCTAATTGATGTCACTTGACTTTCAGGCTACATCCAGCCAACGCCAAGACAGTGGAGTGGGACTGGAAACTGCTCTCCTATGTCATGGAGGAAGAGGTAACGTAAGAGTCATGATGTGTGTCTTCTGCAGGGGACGTTTTGACTAGAGAAGTGATAGGAAATCATTAAGTTTACTAGTATTCACCCTTGACACTCCGATCAAAAATTACTATTAAATGTGTGTCGCCTTCTGATGTTAATATGAATATATGCATTTCCCTCACCTTCTTGAGAGCCCACTAAAAGTACTAGTAAATAAATGAAGAAAGTTATAACTCCATGGCTGTGACAGTAAAGGGAAGAACAGTAGATATCACTAAAGATTTGGAAGGGCAAAAAAATGACAGAAGTGGCTGATGAAGCTTGACAGAAGTCACAGGCAGAAATATATGTGGAAGAAGCTGTAGCCAAGAAGGGAAGAATGCTCCTCTTTAAGACATCTTCAGACTGTAATTTTGGACTCAGAAATATAGTATATATGCTAAAAAGTATCAGTCAGATATGAGCTGTGATTGGTTATCAAAAATACTGAAGCAGTCAGCCTCTTAATTCTTGAACACAAAAAGTTCATTAACCAAGTATATACCCTTTAGGCAAAAACCCAAAAGATTTATTGTATAAAGAAATTAAACCATCTATAATAAACATAGCTCATATATAGTTGGTACTCCAGGAAAAAATGTTCTACATTCTGATCTATAGAGACCCCAAAGCTTAATTGCCAGCTTTCTATTTACCCTAAATCAATTAATTAGATAAAGCAGATGATTTTCAACTTAGAATTCTATAGTTAGCCAAACTATGAATTAAGAATTAAGGTGAATAGGGGCTGGGGAGATGGTTCAGTGGAATAAGCGTTTCCCTGGTAAGCTCAAGGGCCTGAGTTCAATCCCTGGTTCTG